TTATTATGCATTTAATTGGGGAAAATATATTTAGAAATATAAAAATATTCTTGGTTAATAATAAGTTATCATCATTGTGTCTTACTGCACTAGCATGAATAAATATGATTACTGGAAAACCTGTTTAGGCTCATACTATGTTTCCCCTAGAGATCTTGGGACAAAGCCTTCTGGAAGCCTGGAGTAAAAATATTCTTTTAGTGTCTTTAGTTTAGCAATAACACTGACTTATTAATCTTGATTCAGTTGCTAGCCTAGGCTGGATATCTTTCCAGGAAAAAATGAGGATTTTTTTTTTTTTCCTCAGGGAAAAGGAGGAAAAGAAAAGCAATTTTTAAACATTATATTTTAAAGCAATAAATCTGTTAAATTCCCTTTAAAATCAGAGAAAGTTAATCCAGAAGACTTTCTCAAATTTGCCAGTCTTTACTGGCTGGTTAGTCAGGCACTTCAGGCTTTTTGCTTGGCAGGAGAGGAAAGATTAGGTAATACCAATCATGTGTCAAAAGTCTGAACAGAGTACAAGAGGGCAACTTTTTTTTTTATTATTTTATTTTATTTAATTTTTTTTTTTCACAAGGAGGAGTGAAGTCCTCTTTCTTGTCCAGGTTCATAGCTCAATTTAATATAGATATTTTTATGGAAGAGGAGAAGGGAAATACTTTGCAGTGTCACATGTGGTTATAATGGAACTATCTCTGGACTTCTGCTGCTTCTTTTGTTCCCTTGTGCTTCTGTTTCCTGTCTCAGGTTTGGGAAGGAAATGCGTTGCAGCTCCAACACAATGACCTAGTCCTTCACAGTGTGCATGAAAGGTCTGAGAACTTGTTAATGGCAATGGACTGGCAGTAGCCTTTTTTTCCTTATGAAAGCTGGCAGTGCAGAACTCATTCTTATGACTTAATTCATGCTTTTTCTCAGTAATTTATGAGTGTGATGACAATATTCAATGGGCTCTTAGTCTGGTAAAAGCTATCTAGAATCTTGAAGCCATGGTCATTCTTCAACCTTTCTATCAAAGAAAGAGATTTCTAAAAGATTTTCTTGTGATTGAAAATCTCTAAACTGCTTAACCAATAATAATGCCCTTAATCCATCCAGTCTGTCTAGGACTATAATATTGTTACGGAGGTTAAATTTTCTGACCTTTGAAATTGGTGCTTCTTGTCCTCATAATGAAATAAGTCTCTTTCTATTTTTTAATTTATTTTTTTTTTCTTCCCCCTTTTTTTCTTTCCCTTCCTTCCTGCTAGATATCAACTTGTCTAATCTGGATAGCTATCTATCTGTCTAACCTAGATAGACTGATAAATAACTAAGAAAATAAAATCACAAGAGCATCTATTTTACCAGCTCTTGAAACATAATATATCAATTCATGCTACAGTTTGTGGGGCTATTTAACCCCTAAAAAAACTGTTAGCTGGGGAAGTCTAAGCATAGAAGATAAAGTCTTCTTTAATTTATAAAGGAAATTATGAAGCAATCCTTTAAAGCATGGGAAGATTAATGTTGCCATTAGAGGACACTAGATCAGCTCTCTTGCTGCGTTATGCAGCCTTGGCTGTCAGTGATACTAGTAAGTAGTTATAATGGGGCTGAAGATTTCTCAAGTGAACCAGGTGAAGTGGGTGTGTATGTGTGCATGGAGGAGCAATCTCATATGTTAACATGTCCTCGGTAATTAAGAATGTTGTATCATTTATTGGTAAACTGCTAGGTGTACACACTTTATTTTTTCTTTATTATTTTATTTTAGTTTGTTTTATTTAAAATTTTTAAGAGGGCCAGGCCCTTATACAGAGTCTCCAGTAAACAAACTGTCATCGTATGCAAATTTTATTTTAGCAGAAATGGGGTTTGAGTTACAGAGGAAAAAACATAAGACTGGAATTCAGAAATAATTGTAGTCTTACAAAGATTTTTAAAAGCTTAGTGGCAAAAGAATATCATATCCAATGATTCAAGTTTTTTTTTTTTTTTTTTTTTTTTTCTTACCAATCAAACTAGATTTAGATTGAAAACTCTGAAAGTTGTCGTCTCAAATTAAATAAACTGAGAGCACTGACCTGTATTTCATTATTATATTATTCACTATCATATTATTGAAAAGTTATTGCAAGCAAAAATGGCAACGTAATTTAGGTTTTGATTCACTTCACTTGATGCACCTTTCTATGACAGAGATGGATAATTAAAGTGTAGATAAAGAGAAATGAACTGAGTATACCTACTTTGTGCTGTTCAAGCAAGAAAAAATTTACTCAATGTAAGTGGGAATCTGTTGTCTTTGATTGGGGTTCATGGGTGCCTGAATTTTCTGTAAAGTTCCTTGTAATTTCCTTTGTTTAAATGAAAGAAATCTTTAAGGAATTTATCAAATTTGCTGGATGCCATTTTTAATGTGTAAAATTAAACAATCTGAAAATATTGATTTTAGGCATTGAGCAAAATTGACCCACGGAACAAGAACACGCTACTACTGTAGTGCAAAGGGTTGATACTGAACTGACTTGGGAATTATATTTAATTATGTTTGTCATATTTTTTTTGCACCATATAAATGGAACTGACAACTTTAAGTAAGATTTTCCCATTTGCAAAAATGAAAAAGGAATGGTCCACAAAGTTTGGGCATACTTTTGATTTATTTATACTTTCTTTATATATATATGTATATATATAAAAGTTTCAAATTGTAAATGCTTTCCGAGCAAAGTGCCAAAAAATGCGTACTTGTTTGAAATGTTTTGTCATATAAAACACAATATTCCAAAAGCTTTTGGTTTCCTAGAAAGTGGATTCTTTGAAACAAATTCTGTCATTTGTCAAAAAAATTAATTCAATGTTAGTCTTAATTTGAACTGATATGAGCATGACAGGAGAGTTCAGCCACATGTGTCCATTTGCTTCTTCTAAAACCCTTTATGAAGAGTCCAATTGCAGCATGGTTATATCAGATTCAATATATCCACAGATCTTCTCTGATATAGTAAGTGAGAAACATTTTAAAAGTGGTGGTGTGTGGGAGCCTGCGCGTGTGCTCATGCTTTGGAAGTTTTCTTTGAGGATTTGGGTTGCAATTTTGTTCAGTTTTACATAAGCCATTTAGTTTTAACGGAAGCTTTGATCATTGGTGGAAAAAAACGGCTTTCATTAATCACATTCAGAACACAGAGGATGACTTAACAGCTAAGTGTGTGCTTATGTTTGTACACATGCTTCCATCCCAGTGTGCAAATTGTCCCCCTCTGTCCTCCCCCAACACTAAGTTCTGATGGAAAGATTGAAGCTGATAAGGCATAAAGAAGTCCCTTTCAATAGACATAAAACTCACAGAATTTTTGTTACTTAATCTGACTTTGAAAATTTTCAGAAGTCATTGGTTGTAGAAGTGGTCAAAAGAAAGAGCTGCAGCATTACAGAGAAAGTTTTCTTGTTTAACATCAATGAGAATGGTCATGTGAGTATTGCTTTAGGAACATGCAGCTGTGGAGAGGCAGGGATTGATTACACAACTTCATAGACTTTGCAAAATGTGTTTTTACTGAAATAATAGTAGCAAAAAATAATAAATAAAAATAATAAATGATAAATAAATCTTAAAATAAAGCTTTTTACTACAGTGAAATTCTTTTTGGTTGGAATGTATTCTTCCCTTTTTCCTCCAAAGTATCTGGAGAACTACTGACTAGGAAGCCTGACATTGCTACTGGGTAAATCTAAGTAGTGTATAAAGGGGAGTTAGTAGAAACACAGTTAGGTATGTATTGGAATTGACTACCAGGGAAGTCAAATATCCAGATATTGGTACAGGAAGTTAAAAAGAAAAGAATAAAAGAAAGACCTGCTCTTAGTCCCTGTTCTGTTCTGTTAATGAACCCCAAGAATATCTCAGTTCCAGTAAAATCAGTGTATTTTTGTATTTTTATACTGGATTCAGTTGATCCTGATGCTCCCCACTCCCCCATATGATGCATAAAGAACTTAAATCTACATCTTTACATACATTCATTAATGGAACAATGACAGTAGCTAACCCCTAAGGTTTATGTTAGCTTATTTTCTGCATGAAAAAAAAAAAAAACACATACAAATGAAATGAAAACAAACAAACAAAAAAGCTCCTTAAGGAGCTTGCTAAATCAGAAATTACAGTAGTAGATGGATTTCTTATAATAAACTAGGTCCACGTATTCTTAAGTATACAAACATCCCAAGTTTTGTAAAAGAAGTCATTGAATATCACTGTATGGTTGGAGACTGGAGTTTCAGCCATAATTCTAAATTTCCTTTCCCTGTCTGTATACAAGACATACAGGCTGGTTTTCATAACATTCCTGTTTAACTATATTTTGTTAATAGGGTGTTTAACTATGTTTTGTACAACATACAATCAAATATAGCCAGGTCAGAGTGTAAGATCAGTCTCTCTTTCTATTTCTTATATGATGCGTTGACAGGATGGGACATAGTATCAGTTTTGCCCTTTTTATTTTTTTTTTTTTCATGTTTCCTCCAGAAAGCACCACTTTTCCTGCAGTCTTCTGAAGAAAAATGACTTGCATTTCCAAAGGTTTGGGTTTAGGACTGTTTGGCAGTGGATAGAAAACAGTATCACATATGATATTTTTATTCACAGTAGTCTTTCTGAACTCTTCAAAGTGTTTTCTTTGGAGCCTGCTGCTAATTCAGGGGAAGCCAGGCAGCCGACTAAGAGCTGATTCAGTGTCTTTCGGCTGCCTTGTGCAACCAAATGTTCTTGGTTGCACTTGTACTACTATGATGCAATATGATAAGCTCTCAACAACAAATGGAACAGAAAGTATTAGTTTTCACCAGCTCTGAACATAATATTCTTCTCTGCTGTTTTTTTTTTTTGTTTTGTTTTTTTAATCCTTTGTTCATAAGTAACTTCAAAAAGCTTGTAAAGCTGATAGATAGGAGAGGCTTTCATTGGAGATGTATTATGTGCTTAAGCTATATACTCTCTTGCACAGGTGGTTTTGGTCATAGTGGAGAGCTTGTGTCATGCCATAGCTGCTCGGGTATTCTCAGCAGTATCTTATCTGTGATCTCACACCTCCTGATCAGAAGGCACCCCTCTGATGTGACCCCAGGGTAAGTGATAGGATCAGTCCTTCCAAGGACCATTGCTGGTAATTCCTTTCCAAGGTCAGCATATCTCTTTTCTGTTAGTTATCAGGACTCTGATCTCACTACTCATTCACTAGTGAATCAGGAGAAAATCCACTGCCATAGAAGCATGTGTTTTATCATTTTAGATTATATCAGGAATTCACTTCTGAAAAGAGTCCCCTGTTATCCCCACTTTTTGCAGCTTGTTCGCTCCAAGAGCACACCACTAAATTGACCAAACTGGCTAGCTTTCAAACCATAAGATGAGATCTAGCCAGGCTTATAATGTGTTCACACAGATGTGAAAATGCAATAGAAAAGCTGTGTCTTCAGGAGTAAGTTTTGCTCTCTGAAGAGATGCTCCTATTTAATCCTAGAATCACTGCTTAATAATGTAAATACAGTCAGTATTTTGGTTTCTTATTGTGAACATATATATACATTGGCGTCTGCTGGTAACCAGTGACTAAGCAGCTTTGCAGGGTGATATACCTTTTAGCCACAGCTTTCCTCCAGATCTTGACCCCACTCTACCCACTGTTTAAGCATAGATGTTTCCCTCCTTGGCCCATTTCTCGTGACTCAGAGTGAAGGCTACAGCTTCCTTCCTGTGTGACAGCAGAGTGACCAGCTGCCACACCTCTCTGCTGATGGATTGAAGTGTTTTCAATCTGAAGTTGCGTTCCCTCCAGCTGCTACTGATGTATACAATTTTTACTAGGCAAGAATAAAGGGATTTAAGGGAAGAAAGAATAAAAGTGAATTGTCAAAGGAAATCCTGCTATTGGTTTCCACTATTTCCTTCTATTGTTGAATGTCGCAGATGCTGAAGTAAATTTCTACTGAGATGGGAATCCCACATTAACTATTGTCATCCATGTTTGGTCATGACCAGCAGTTAAATCATTCTTCCTTCTCATTTGAACAGCCAGAGTGAACAGTGGTATTTCTGACATTTTTCTGAGTAAGCATGCATAATGCTTCCCACAGGTCATTGTCCTCTGAATTGGGCCAAAAGCATTGAAATAAAAATATTAAACCTTCCATAAACTTTCTGGCAGCTCCTATGGAATCACATAGAGGAGGATGCTTGCCAAAACAAGCAACTTATTTAAGTACCATCATTTTGATTCTTTTTCCTTCCCTAGCTATTTAGATTAATTTGAATGGAACATAATTTAATTCCTCTATGATACTGTTGATTTTGTCCCTGATGAGTTGTCTAGGAATTTTCTAAGAATCTCTTCCAACCCTGAAATGGTTCTGAAATTACTAACCCCTAAAGACATAAATTCTGAGAATGGGACAATCCTTGTTTTTTAAATTTACTGATTAAAAGAGGGTTTGAAATGCTCATTGTGAATTAGTTCTAGCACTGCTATGTCTGCAAAGGGACTTCAGAGTCCTCCTGCATTGATGAGATATGACATTATCCTTGCAGGCTTGACTGTATTTTCTTTGCGTGAGCATGAACAGCCTTCACTGGGTCAGCGTATGTCCAGAATGTTTGCTCTGATCTGCAGCTCTGCTTGCAAGGCACAAAAACGATCCCAGAGAGAAATCACCCAAAGAAAGAATCCAAATAATGGGACTAGCAGTTAGTACTTGTTAATACACTGCAGATGCAATGGGTGGAAGAGTAGAAAGCCAATGACTCAGCTGGTGAAGTGATATAACAGGCAGTGTCTTTAGTAACTGTGTTACTTAAGAGAGGCAAAGAATCTAAAAACTGTCTCAACATGACCCATAGAGATTTCCTTTAGAGGACAGACTTCTAACTGCGGCAGATCTGTTGGTCTTCTCCACCCCACCACTCCCTGCCTTCTGCCGTAAGTGGCATGGGGACATGCAGGGGGCCCAGCTGTGAGAGGACATGCTGCGAGCGGCTCCAGGCTCCACCTATGCTGATCTTAGCCCTGTGGTTGAAATTACTCAAGATGTTGGCATTGCTGGAAAAGCTGGCTTCAGAAGTTTCCAGTCTCCTCCTCTGCCCTGGTGGCTTTCACCCCTCATGCTAGTGTTTGCCATACCCTCAGGTTGCACTTCTGTGGCAAATTAAGCCAATCTGTGTCAGCATAGCCATGGTCTCATCTTAATACTTTGTTTTGGCTCCCCCACTGCCTCTCGTACTAGCTCTGAAACTCTACAGAAAGCCCTGATGGGTTTCTGCTAAGTACTTTGAACCAGATCCAAGTCACTGGGAGCCATCAGTGCCAGCGTAAGAGGAATGGAGAATGTGAGAGAAAGGGAGGGAAGATTGTGGTAAAGCCAGTATAGATTGGTTTAATCTGTTGAGAAACCTCATCCTCATTGCACAAAAACAACAGCATGTGGGGCTGCTCAGTAAGCTTAATTACTGAAATTTTTCTATTAACAACAACAACAAAAAAAGGCAAAAATGCCCTTCTCATAAAGACTTGCATTGGTATGTCTGAGGGGACAGCAAACTGCAGCAGAGTTGCTGTGTGGTCACCATGGCTCTTAGTCTATCCCATAAATTTTCTCCAGAACCAAACAGTGAAGACCACATGCAAATTCAGAAAAAAATATTTTATTTTTTTTTTTTTTTTTACTGAAAGTGCTAGATTCTGATTTGGGTTGGAGGTACTTAATTAGAATAACCTATTTAAATAGCTCATTTTATTATATTGAACATAAATATAGATATTCTGCATCTCAAGTCTGTCAATGCAAGCTGCTGTGCCCTTCAGGAAAGATAATTAAGTCTCTTAAGTATGTTTGCCAGAAATATTGGGGTATAAATCATCACAACAGGGTGGTTCGAACAAATTAAAACCAGTCTGCTAGACTGACAACATGCTTACTTAACTAGAGATACAGTAATGAGCTCTTTGATGTCATTCTAATTGAAGCAGCTTCCCCAAATAATTTTCTTTTTCATTTGAATGCCTTCAGTTATGTTTTTGTTTCTCATTGAAATGAAATAGCATTTATTTTTATTTTTAGATGAAGCATCACCTGCCTTGAAACATTTTTATATAAAATATTTATAATTTTGACAGAATTCAGGCACATGATGTTTATTTATTCATGTGAAGGAAGGCAGAGCTTTCTTCCTCATTGAGCATACAGATAATTTGAATGGCTGAATAAATGTTTCCTTCATTTTTCTATCTAAACATGTCTGTATGAGCTTTATGCATTAAAAAGCTGTGTCAGTAGTTAAATGGATTTAACTACTTGCCAGGACAGGGAATGTAGTAGGGTCATGTGCTGCATCTTGTCCTCTTGCTGCTCATCAAAGAAGGATGTTAGGAGACAGCAACCAGCCTTCTGGGTGCTTCTTTATGGACTAAACTCCTGGTTGTTCAGGATCTGTACATCTCTCCTAGTCTCAATTGTTCTGCTTCATGAGTATCCACACCACATGATTTGGGTTTAATTTCCATAACACTCCAGAGAATCTCCGGGGCATAAAACTACTACAGTCCCTGACCTTTAGCTATGCATTCTTGGTTGGTTTGCATGTCATTATTTCTTTAGTACAGCAATGCCTCTGTGTTCCTGTATGTAGACTTTAAAGGAGAGTTGCCTTTCTTTCATGGGACAGTATCGTCATAAATACTCTACTTCCAATGGAGCTGACAGCAGTGTTTTAGAGGTGTGGACATGAAATTGTTTCATGCCTTGCACCTTTTTCTTTAGGGAAAAAAAAAAAAAAAAAAAAAAAAGCTACTCAGAATAGATCACTCAAGACATTAGTAATATCTTCAAACGAATGAGTGCTAAAGTGAACAGAAGAGTAATGTGACTGTTTTGCACACTCTGTGAGGATACTTTCAGAGTTCTGAAAAAATGGGTTTCATCACAGGACACAGCTATGTCCCAGATCTGCTCAGATGACTTCAAAGAAACCAAGAAAATGCAAAAGTCAGCCTTGTGGCACATTAAGTTGTAGTTGATGCCTTCTACTGAGATTTATGACTATATCTGGGAAAAAAAGAAGTCTTTCTGTTCTCTGTCCTAAATGAAGCAACAGCTGCCCTTATAGACAAGCTCCTAAAAAGGCTGTGGGTGCTGGCTCAACAGTTATACTTTCTTCGGTAGGGAAAAACAGAAAAAGAAACCCTTAGTGGAGGTGAGGGAGAACATGAGTATTTTGGTTTTTTGTGTTACATAGTTCTGTTTCTTGTCAAATCCTCCTCGTTTCTGTACTATTCATAGACTACTTTACAGGAAAACAAACTGTAATGGTTAGCATCTGAGGAATCTATAGGCAAAAAAGACTCTAAATATTCCCTTGGCCAACCCCAAAATGCACAACTTATTACACTAATTTGAATTAATGAACTTTGTCAACAAGATTCAGAGTTGCAACAGCTTAACTGACTTAAATAACAGAGGATTGTTTTCAGAGATTCTGAATTTCTGCTGTTCCCAGTGAATTCAGCAAGAAAATAGAGCACCAGAGAAAGATTTTCCTGTACCCCTCAGCAGTTAATACTTGGGAGCATAAAAATCCCCATAGATGAACTCACAGTATGTGCTTTAATCTTTTAAAATGTTGGATAGAACTCACACTAAATTAGCTAAACTACCAAAGCTTCAGGACAATATCTTAGCAGGCAGTTGGGTAGATCTAAAACCTAGAAATTTATCTTGCTTGTATCAGGGGTCTGTAGCTGTCAACAGCTACAGATAGATACATATAGATAATTTGTCAGATGACAAAGAGGGACCTTTCCAGAGAACAGTGCTATAGAAAGGCAGTGCCCAGCCAGAAGTGGATAACCATCGGTTTATTTTACCTTCCTTCATTATTGCAATATTAAACAGGATCATCATTATCTCTTTAATGTGTATTTTCTGTGGCCAAGTATAACATGTCTAGAGCTAATGCAGAGGTGCCAGTTCCTACAGTAGTCCTTAAATGCATATACTTCCTGAGAAGTATCCTTATCCTGTTTGACATTAAATTTTCATTCCTAATATTTACAATATTAGTGTTAGGGGTTATTAAGAATATAGATAATATATTTTTCAAAGTTTCTGCTGCCTTGGAACATAAAGTAGTAATAAGAAATTCATTTCTATTGAAATTTATCTTAATGCACAATAACATATACTTCCTTTTATACAGCTGTATTCTGCTTTTAAATCATACTTGCTCACAGTCCTAGAGATTTATTTGGGGATTTACTTATTATTATTATTGTCAATGAGCATGCCCACTATGGCTCAGAGTATTGATTGCAATGAAAAAAGGTACCTCAAGACTCAAACATCAGATTTTTAGATGAAGAGGAGCAATAGATT